CTGGGGTGGGTATGTCTTTTGTTATTTTAGCTCCCTTTCAGTGAAGCCCCACTGCAAGGGTTAACATTTTATTTGCCTGGAGTTCTTCTTTAACTCCTTTCCCCCCTCTGTAGATTGCAAAGAAAAATGAGGTTATCCGGCAGTTAAAGATCAGTTTACATCAGTTGGAGAAAATTTCAGAGAGCCAAGTGAGACGTACAGTGCAAGAATCAGAGAAGCAGCAGAAGTCAGATCGCCGTGCCTCAGAAGGGAAATGTTTAAAGTTCCAGCAGGACCTGCAGCAACTAAGATCACAGCTTAATGGTGCTATTGCTGAAAACCGTGAGGTTGAGCTAAGCCTCAGAAAGGTATAGTAGTGTGTTTCAGTCTTTTTTACCTCTTTAAAATGATACAGTATTGTAAATAAAAATGTAGCCATCTCTCTGGAAAACCTAATTTACATTAAAGGGACATTTTAGGAAAGAAGTATGAGTATAGATTGATTATATATTCAGTGAAATGCCAACACTACCCTATAAGCACTTAAGTTGTACTAAAGTCATAGTCTACTCATTACATCTTTAAAGCTATAGTCAACGCATATAAAAAACCTTTTATTGATCAAATGTATTTTACCTGCACGGGCCTGACTAGGGATACTGAGTAGGAGTTCACACAATGCAGCAAAAACAGCATAGATTGCAGTGTTTGGATCACAAACTCAGAGGCATATCTACAACAAATTGTGTCCTTGGCATCCTGCCAAGCTCCTGGCAACCAGTAAAGTCACTGTGACATTACTGGCAACCACCATCACTGGCAACCAGTGATGCCACTGGTTGCCAGGAGCTGGGTGGAGCGCTGGCTAGAGCATCCCAGGTTGCTAAGAGCCTGGTGGGGACATGTGTATGGCCCTTACATATCTCCCTACCCAGCTTTTAGCAACCTGGGACGTTCTGGCTGGTGTCCCACCAGCATACACATCTTCCCACCCGCTCTAGTTACTAAGACCTGGGCGGGAAGATGTGTATGGCCCTCACACATCACACCACCCGCCTCTTAGCAACGTGGGATGATGTGACCTGTGTCCCTCCTAGCGCCTAGCAACCAGTGATGTCATTGGTTTCCAGGAGCAGGGTGGGATGCTGGCCAGAGTGTCCCTAGTTGCTAAGAGCGAGACAGGGAGATATGTATGAGAGAGGGGTGGGGAGAGAAAAAAAGGTTAGCTGTGCCTACCCCCTTCAACTGGCCCTCAGGGCATGTACTATATGTGCCATACCCTGGATATGTCACTGCACAAACTATAGTCATTAGCCCAGTTCACCATGAATTCTACTTCCTGAAGATTAAGAAGTTCATCCCTAGTCTCCATAATGATTTGACAGCACCAAAAATAAGTATTATATCCTAAATGAAAGAAAACTGCAGGTGAACGTTGCTGTATGGCATGTTCAAACATATCTTCTTAATTGTTATTATTATTTGTATTTATTTTTTTTACAGAAAAAGTATAAAGTTGAAACAGAGATTGAGAACTGGATACAGAAATATGACGGGGACATGAGGGAGAAACAAGTAAGATAAAACATTATTGTATGGTTGCGGAGCAATTGCTTTTATTAAAGCAAATTATGCCTTTATATCAACACTAATAAACACAGTTATGTATTTATTAATTTATAATTAAATGTATTTTAAATGAAACCAGTATAAATATCCGAATTTGACTAATTATCAGCATGTTCTGATCCCCTGTACAACAGCATTTAAACTGGGGAAAAAGTGCGGCACTTGGAGCCAATAAGGTTTCTTATATACACATGTGCTGACAAGGAACATGCCGATAGGAGGAGAAAGCAGAGAAATTAGCCTATTAGGCAGTTCCTGGCCCGGTACTGTCCAACTAAAGGCTGTGGGCAGGGATGTGACCAAACTGTTCTGCTTAACTGCATCAGAGAAACTCAGGTCACCAGGATGGCTACTGTAAAACTGGTGGACAGATATGCAAATACCATGGCAAGCAAAAGATCTTCTACACATGTGTTTTAATGGTGTATTCAGTTACTTTCCTGGAGCTTGGGTTTCATTTAAACAAAACATTCACAAACTTGGTCAATTTACACAAAAAATATGAAATATGAAAACATGCATAAGATGAGGTTAGCTCCAGAGGCAAAACAATCATTACATCTAGAGATATATTAAAGGAGAACTATGAGGCGAGTGCTTTTCACTCACCTCATAGTTCTAGCCGACCTGTGACAATGAGACAGTCAAAGGTCAGCTCAGTAGATCGAGAAGTGAGCGAACACATACCGGCGTTCGCTCACCTCTCGATCCTGTCACAGCGCTCTGACGTGACAGGGGAGGGGCTGGATTCCCCCCTCCCCGCTCCGATCCGACCAGCGCTGACTGGCGGATCAGACGGGGGAGGGGGCCAGTACAGCTGTCTCTGCCTCTAGATAGGCAGAGCCAGCTGTCAGTCACGCAGCTGGGCGGATCCAGACATAATTGTCGGGATCCGCTTCAGCTGCGGCGTCTCAGTATACCACGAGCTACAGCTCGCGGTATACTGAGCTTAGGGTGACAGGAGGACACTTGTTTGTGTCCTCCCGTTATCCTAAGGAGAACTATGGGGAAAAGCCTTAACCCCAAAGTTCTCCTTTAAATCATTTCAAGTCTTCATGTTTCTTGTAGAAGCCAAACTGGGCCTGCCACTTGAGCCTCTCTAATGCCTAATGAGACCTCCTTTCATATTAAAAAAGACCAATAGAGGAGCTCAGGAAATTGTAGAGTTTGTTGGTACTCATATTTTATAGCAAAAGGTACAATTTACATATATTTTTGGCAGCCCATATCTCTAAATGTCGTTGAGGATGCAACATTTATCTGCAAACCTTAACTGTTAAAAATCTTAAGAAAAGGGTAGTATTAAACTCTCAAACTTTTTTTTTTTCAATAATGAATCCAAATTAAATATAAATTGCCCAGCAAAATATATTTTTTTAATTTGCCCAAACACTTACCGTCATCATGTTTCCAAACAGCTGGCTCCAAAGCACTCAGCTCGGTTTCCCTGAACTTCCTGTTCAGTACAAGATCATAAGAGATAGAAAATTCTACAGCAGCTGTCCATCTACTAGCTTGGGGAAGGCAGGAAAAAGGGGAGTGGCTTGACAAGCTGTGCCTGTTTGATTGTGGAGACACACACAGCTTACTAGCACATACAAGGTGGCTTTATAGGACTCTGCAAGGAAGGAGCCACCATAAAACAGGATGTCAGGGCCAGTGCTCAGGGGAACAGCTGATTCTGCAGGAAACTAAAAGGTTTATACATCAAGGAGCAGCATCCATTGTAAGTGATTTCCTCAGCATTTGAAACAGCTTAAACACCTTTTGGCCTTATTATCACTTTAAGCTTGGCCCAAACCCTTCCCACCTCGCCATCTTCCCTATTGGTCCTTTAATGTGATGGACAGCCTCATGTTCCAATAGGTAGACTAAAACGGTAGAATGGGCTGAATCATAACAACTTTTACAGGAAAAGCCTGATATTTCATACAACTCAGGTACCTATACCTATAATAATCATTTAAAAAATGTTTTACCAGACAGGCTTTAGGCCTCTGTTTAGACTTTAGTTTCATCATATTCTCTGGTTGGATTGTTTGGCTTTGGAACAATGCTAAATACATAGCCCTCTGCTTCTGCCATGTGTAGCCTCAACTTCATTGGTATAAAATGGCACCTAAATGGTTAACCTACTAACAGCAGCACGCCCTTAATGGATATTGCTGCCCATAAACCTGACAGGTATAAATGGAATCACACTATAGGGTATATTTAAAAAAAAAAAAAATACGAAGCCATTTGTTTTACAAAACTGCATGTTCATTCGTTCTGTGCGAATGGGACAAAAACTAATGTTATTAGTACATTTCCATTCCAGGTCGAATGTAATCCATGCATAAGGTTAGAATGAATCAGGAAAATACTACATTATGGCCACTAGTAAGAGCCAATGATCATAGGAATTAATACTTTTTTTCCGATGATCTTCATCTCTACCTTATGGTCATAATGTGGTGTTTTCCTGATTCACTCTAAACCTAAGAACATATTCCATTTGACCTGGAAAGAAAATAAAGTAATAACATTCATTTTTGCTCCATCTGCACAGAATGAACGTACATGCAGTTTCACAGGACGCAGGCTTTGCATATTTTTTTTATAAATACACTCCTGTGTAAAGGCGGTTGTAGAAATCAGAGAATGGTCAGACATGCAAGCATTTGTCAGTGGTCAGATTTGACCCTAATATGGGATACTTGGACCAAATGTGTTTCTATTTGGATACATAGGAAGAAAGGAGTGGTTCAAATTCACTCCCTGGAGAAAGGTTCAGTGCCAGCTTATCCAAATTTGACAAAATTTCCCAACTTCTCCAGCTGTTTTAACCACCAAAGCAGATGGATTGGCAATTATCATCTTTTTCTGGTTACTTGCAGAGCAATGGTAGCATTTTGTCCAGTCTTGAAATATCTCTCTTCTGTGTTTTCCAATATCAGACAGAGCTGGAAGAATTAGAAGCTGTGTATGAAGAGGAGAAGGCTCAGCTGGAAGAACTGAAGGAGAAGCTGGCAGTCTTGGAGGTGGAATATGTCCAGATTATGGAAGAAAGGCATCAGGCCCAGTTGAAGAAGGAAGCTGCAGAAAAGGAGCTAGCCATCAAAAACCGCGCAGCCACCATCATTCAGTCACTCTGGAAAGGGTATCAGGTCAGAAAAACAATGAAATCAAAGAAAAAGAAGAAGAAGAAGAAGGGGAAGGGAGCCAGTGGGAAAGGGAAAGGGAAAGGGAAAGGCAAGAAAGGCAAAAAGTAGTGAAACGTATTAAACCAGGAATAAGAATGTTTCTTTTAAAGTGACATTAAAGTCAATTTTTTTTCCGTCCCCCCAATGTTAGTGTCAGCACTTACATTAAATGATGTCTCTTAATCCGATCTTCTTCTTTCCTGTCCTTTTCAGCCTTCTCTCCAGCGCTGCTGCGGGTCTCTGATCCAGCGCTGACTCCTCTGTCCATGCTGGCACTTCCTGTCCCATGGTGTCTGCATGCGGGTGCACGCGTCCATAGACTTAACTTGCGTCTCTCCTCGTCTCCCGGCCGAAAATCCAAACTGCTTTGCGGCCGCCCGAGACAGTTTTGGATTTTCGGACGGGAGCGCGTGGCGAAGACAGCGGTAAGTTTAAACCGCTTTTAAAACGTATTTTATTTTTTTACTTTTTGCATATACAGTATCTACTGCTTGTTAGCAGTAGATATATGCAAAAAAACTGGAGGGTTTAGAAACCCTTTAAGTCCCAACTAGGCTTCTTCATCTATAACCGTTCTTCATTTATAAACCATATTATAGTATATGTACCTTTTGTGTGCATTAGAAACATTCAGAGAAAAAGCTTAATAAAAAAACAAACTATCCACTATATAATTAAAACAATAAATCGGTTGCAAATTATGATTAATTTGTATAGCACTGTCATTTCCTATGACATGCACGCTACAAGGGTGAGATACTGTATATGGTTTGTAGGCTTGGAGAGTGCCAAACAACGTGAAAAGGAATTGAAGAGAACATGAGAGGCTTATAAGTCCTGAAGGTGAGAATGTGAAGAAGCGAAAAGTACAAAGAAAAAGAGAAGGCAGTCAACATAGCACATGTTGTATTGTTATAGTATGTGGTTAGTGAGGAAACCTATGGAACAAGGATAGTGAGTGCATAGTATGTCAGGGCTGCAAGGCTGCTCCCACCACGCAGTGTAAACCTGCAGTTTGCCATTTAAATCAGTCCAAATGGACTACTTGATGCAACACACAACAATGTAAGAAAGTCCCAGAATCCCAATCAGCTGTGTAAAATCAACTTTATTGCAGCTTGACATGTGCTGCACAGTGCTGCCTACAGTCTACCCCTTTCTCTATGACTGGGCCCGTATAGGGTGAAACGCATTATGAGGAGTGGACATGAGGTGGGACTGTACGGCACATGTCAAGCTTCCATAAAGTTGATTTTACAGAATGACTTAATTGCTGTGTGGCTGATTAAAATTCTGCAAATGTCATGAGTGTGTCGTGCTCTGCCGGCAGGCACCCAATGTTACCTTCGGCTTAACAGTTGGATGCCGGGATGCAGTTGTGTCTTTTTGCGATTCAGACACAACAGTGCAATGCAGGCAAACAAATGCATTCTGGTATAAAAAGTATTCCCTGTGTAACTGGTAGCCAATGGAGAGAATTACGGGTAGCATTTTAGAAATAAGAGAAGTAAAATTAAGCAGAATTCAAAATAGATTTGCAGGGTGCTGGTTTGTTCGTTGTTGGGGAACAGAGGAGTGCATCACAGTAACCAAACCAGAATATTAATAGTGCATGTACTAGAATTTTAGTTGTGTTACACAGAAGGAAAAAAAGTCCTGGGAGGGAAGTAAGGGACGTTTTCATTCTCTGGGACATCCTCACCAGCCTTGTAAACTTCTCACAGTGACAGTTACTAGAAGATAGCTGATATACTGTAGTTCAGCAGGCAATGCTGCAAAGACAAGCCCAAACAGAAAATTGACATTGGATTTCAGGCAGATCACCAGGTTTTCTATACTTTTATACATTTTATAGTGATAAATTTGGGGAAAAATGTATGTATTGCAGAGATGTCCTGAACATACTCTATATTGACAAAAGTATTGGGACACCCCTCCAAATCATTGGGTTTAGGTGTTCCGTGACATTTCCTTGCTACTAAATATTCCAGGGTCAACTGTTAGTGGTATTATAACAAAGTGGAAGCAACTGGGAACAACAGCAACTCAGCCACGAAGTTGTAGGCGACATAAAATGACAGAGCGGGGTCAGCGCATGCTGAAGCGCACAGTGTGCAGATGTCTCCAACTGTCTGCGGAGTCAATAGCTACAGACCTCCAAACCTCATGTGGCCTTCAGATTGGCACAACAACAGTGTGTAGGGTTTCCATGGCCGAGCAGCTGAATCCAAGCCATACATCACCAAGTGCAATGCAAAGCGTCGGATGCAGTGGTGTAAAGCACGCCGCCACTGGACTCTAGAGAAGTGCAGACGTGTTCTCTGGAGTGACGAATCACGCTTCTCTGTCTGGCAATCCGATGGATGTGTCTGGGTTTTGCGGTTGCCAGGAGAACGGTACTTGCCTGACTGCATTGTGCCAAGTGTAAAGTTTGGTGGAGGGGGGATTATGGTGTGGGGTTGTTTTTCAGGGGTTGGGCTTGGCCCCTTAGTACCAGTGAAGGGAACTTTTAAGGCATCAGCATAACAAGACATTTTGGACAATTTCATGCTGACAACTTTGTGGGAACAGTTTGGGGATGGCCCCTTCCTGTTCCAACATGACTGCACACTAGTACACAAAGCAAGGTCCATAAAGACATAGATGAGCGAGTTTGGGGTGGAGGAACTTGACTGTCCTGACCTCAACCCGATGGAACACCTTTGGGATGAATTAGAGCAGAGACTGCGAGCCAGGCCTTCTCATCCTGAAACAAACGTAGAAATACCTTGTCGCACTCCTTACCGGGAAGCCCCGAATTGACTGAGGGGGGGTGCTTGTAGTGACCGCATTATGGCCCCGCCAACAATGCAAAAATTCAAAGGATGTCACCAGCACACCAATATTATTGAAGTCCAAAGTGTTCGTTTATTGGAACACCATGTCACCAGAACTGTTCTGGTGGAGTTGCCCCTTGATTGCGCCCTTTTGGCTAGCCATCTCACATGTGTATTTGAAAATGACCGCTAGCAAGCTCCATCTCACACCCCAGATGGACAACACTATCTGTTTTCTCAGGTTCCATCTCCAGGGAAAAGAAATCCCTTTTGAGATTTTTTTGTGAATGCTGCCAGGGCACTGATTCCTAGGCATTGGAACACCCCGGTGATCCCTACCCTGGGGGAATGGACTGCAGAACTGTGCTGCCAAATGAGATCTGAGGAACTGATTGCCGAACAGTTGGACAAATCTGAGGCCTTTCTATCTAAATAGAGACCCTGGCTACTGTTCATGGAATCTGAGGAGTTTAGGACCCAGGCATAGCTTCCTGATGTGTTCACTGATCACGTAGCACCCCTTTACCTCCCCCTTCTCTCCTTTCTTCTTCTCTCATTCCCTTTTGTTGTCTAATTGTCTTGACTTGTTGTGTGTCTATTTTATGTTGTCTATGTCTGAGGGCTTTAGGTGCTGCAGTTAATTTGACCTTTTACTGGGTTCATGCCTTTAAGTATGGTCTCATGTTCCTACTTCAACGTTGAGGGCCCGAGGCCTGGCCCCACTCAGGTGCGATGGTCCCCTCCGGGGTGGACCTTTTTTTTTTGTCAGCGATTCCCCCTGCGGGGTTAGGCAGTTTGGAGAGGGTCAGGCTCGATCTAGGTCCCCTTATCATTATCATATATACTGATGGCTTTAAATAAGTGATATGATATAATCTTGAATATTGCTCACCCATGGCTGCCTTTGTATGTGTGTTTTTTTACATTATACTGTCTGTGAAAATCTTAATAAAAATTATTTCTGCAAAAAAACATTCCCATAGACACACTCCTAAACATTGTGGACGCCTTGCCAGAAGAGCTGAAGCTGTTATAGCTGCAAAGGGTGGGCCAACTCAATATTAAACCCTACGGACTAAGACTGGGATGCCATTAAAGTTCATGTGCGTGTAAAGGCCGGCGTCCCCATACTTTTGGGAATATAGTGTATGTTTGTGGATGCTGATTTTTCTCTCTTTTATGTAGAAAAGGGGGGAAAAATATTTCTTCACCTTTTGTGTATAGTATCTATGCATTAGCAATAGAAAAGACAGTTGTTTCACCCTTGTCATTAAGAATCAGATATTTGCCAGTCTATCGCTAGCATTACTGTTAGATGAGGGGAACCTAAAAAGGAACCTCAGAGCTGCCAGTGTTTTGAGTTGTTTATAAAGGTGCATGCTCCAGGGCTGCGTAACTGATCTTGCCAACATTTCTAGGTGAGCCAGTGGCCTGACTTTTCTAATTGTTTGAGTTTCTCAGCTGTCAAAAATAGGCTCCACTGGGTCATGATTAACAAGAAGCTAAATTAGATGGCTAAATTACTTGGTAGTTTACCCAAATTCCGCAAAGTTTGGGATCTGTGGGTCTCTGATTTTCTACCACTGGAAACCTAAATACTGGATCATCTTTTTAGGTTGTATGTAACCAATTATCCGCAACCCCCTCAGCCATCTCTCTCTCTCTCCCTCCCCCCTCTCTCTTCAGCTTACTTTTGACTTCCTCCAGTCTTTCCCTAACTCCTTTTTCTATTCTCTTTTGCTACTTCTCCCTTTCCATTAGTTCTATTCGGTCTATCAAGGTAGATTGACAAACGCATTTATGCACGCATAGAGTCCGATTACTAGTTTACTCCGATACTATGTATACGATTTCTCGTATCACTGATATATCTGCTGTACCAGTGGCTAAGAAGACTCTCTTACTGTTTCATATGTCATTTGTGGTCTGTTAATTGCTTCAGTTATTTCTGTTATATTCTTATAAACCAATAAAAATGTATTGAATAAAAAAGAAAAAGGACAGCCTCAGATCAAAAACATGCTGGCAATGGCAACTCCCATATTTCTATTCTTGCCAGTTTCTTTACTATTGTTTGATTGTACTATGGACTATACCCAGAGTAGAGTAAGCATTACGTTAAATGACAGACTAGCATCTTTTGATTCTGGCAATTACAAATCATTTATTAACAAAGGTAATGATAGGATATAAATAAAAGGCATGCGACTTTGAAATAGAGAGATAACACTTATTAGTGAATACAAAAATTGT